GGGTTTTTTCGGTGACGGGGAACCTCTTGTTCCACATTTTCGGACCTCCTGAGCACGGTGGTGATGTTATTTTTTTGAGAAAATGCTTGGATTGCAAAACGTGAAGACGTCAGGGACTCCTTCTCTGAATCTCTCTTCTTTCTGGCGTACTTTCTCAACTGTAACTCACTCTCTTGCTCTCTGGACTAGCTCTGATACCAAAATGGCACAGAAACTAAATGAAAACAAGCAATTCTTATTCTTTTCAAGTCTACCTCTTACACAGCCACAAGGGTCCTATTTATAGTCCTGGAATTTGTGAAACTGAACCATACAAACTTAAAAGGAGGTTACAGAAATTAAGGGAAAGTTACGAAGAGTTTATTATGCTCCATTATGTGTGTGTCTTTCGTTTCTACTCCATTATGTGTGTGCCTTCCATTTCAGCTCGTTTTTGTTCTTTCCGTTTCAGTAGGAGTATCTTCTATGGGTGAAGTAAACCCATGTTGATCATGAAACTCTTTAACGATATCTTCATACGTTTGAGCATCCTTTTCATTTGCCATATCCTTCCCAAAGATATTAGATAGCTCATCATAATAGGGGAAAGTCTTGTTTCTTCCACTTAGCAGCTTTCTTGTTTACCTGCGACAGAAAAAAACAAATAAACAGCAAAAGAAACAACAGAAACTAACGGCCAAAAAACCAGAAAAAAAACAACAAAAATTGAAACAGCATAAACTAACCGCCAAAAAACCAGAAAAAATAAATAAACAGCAAAAATTGAAACAGCAAAAACTAACAGCAAAAAAAACTAGAAAAAACAAATAAATAGCAGAAAGAAACAGCAGAAACTAACAGCAAAAAAACCAAAAAAAATAAACAGCAGAAACTAACAACAAAAAAAAACTAGAAAAAATAAAGAAATAGCAGAAAGAAACAGCAAAAATAGCAGAAACTAACAACAGCAATTTACCTTCACATATTCATCCTAAACAGTCTTGGGAGCTGTCACACATTTCTTTTCAAGGTCTTAACCAAAACCAGATAAATTGAGAAGGTCAGAAATCACACCATAGTTAATTTTTAACTTCTTGACTTTTGACTGAATATGGGGATGGGCCTTAATACCACTTCCAGGTATCAAACCATCAAGCATGTCCTTCAAAGTGTTTAAGACACGTGGCCTTAAACTATTGTCAGATACAAGTTTCTCCCTTATCATGTAGCACTATCATAAATTGAATTAATAATTCATCCTCTTCGGGTGTCCACATGTGCTTGTCTGATTTTCCAGACCTACTTGACATGTTTGTTCAACTAAAAGAAGAAAATGTTAGAACTTGAAAAGAGGTTAAATAACAATAAGACAATATGACAATATATTTTTATTAAGGACATAACAATAATACATGTTCTATCATACCATACATCACACTCAAAGAAACAAAGAAAATTGACATATTCAAACAAACAATAATGTTTAAATGAAATAACTAATTCATCTAGATATCCTATTAGAAGAAAAAGTAGTGAACATTTCATTAACAAGAGTATCCCTAAAGGTAGCCCATTCATCAGAAGCATCCATGTTTTGAATTGGGGTGTTTTCCATCCCGTCTATATCAACACCCATTTCTGGAACTTCATTTTCAAGTGGATCTAAACCTTCTTGACGAATTAAGTTGTGTAGGAGGCAACAAGCAATTATAACTCAGTTATGTGTTCGAACGGGATAAAATGATGCGCTTCTTAGTATAACCCACCTTAACTTCAAAATACCAAAACACCGCTCAATTACATTTCGTGCAGAAGAGTGTCTTATATTAAAGCACTCGTGTGCACTTCTAGGATGTCGCCCTTCTCTCCATTCACTTAAGTAGTATCTTTGTCCTCTATACGGTGCAAGAAATCCCTTACAGTTGGTGTACCCAGCATCAACCAAGTAATAGTGACCTTGTGGAACTCTCAAGCCATTCCTTCTACTTATGGCATCACAAAGAACTCGTCCATCTGCTGCAGACCCTTCCCACCCAGGCAAAACATATATAAAGAAACCATCTTGTGAGCAAACACCCAACCATTTGTAGTTATCTCTCCTTTCCTATTCCAGTATCTTGCCTTGTCGAGAGAAGGAACTCTTAACTTGATGTGAGTTCCATCCAAGGTGCCTAAACAATTCTATAAAATAGAAAAGTAAAAAAAAGTTAATACAAATTGTTCACACAACTTTCAAAATAATGATAAATACATAACATGTATGTTTACCTTAAACATATCTCCAAGTCTCATTATACTAGTAAGTACTGAGTTGAAATGCCTACTAATAGTTTCTCCCGATCTACCAAAGTTATGTTGTATTACTCTATTCTTCACATGATGTGCTAGTATGTGTAAAAACATGGCAACTTGTTCATCTACAAGCATGTTCTTACTAGGTTTAAGACCACCCATATCCGTTAGCATAGAACACAACTTATCAAATGTTGATCTATGCATTCTAAGTAAGTTGTAACAGGCTACCTCACTGTTAGACATTATTCTCTTTAGGTAAGATCTCTTAACAATAAAATCCATTTTGTAAGGTATATGTCTGATTCTTCATCTCCTTAGTATGATAGTCATACACATACAAATACAAAACGCATACATTGCCTCAGTCATGCTCATCCAGAAGAGAAACAAATGTAATAATATTCTCTCCTCAAATAGTGCCATAACTGTGTACTAATTATACAGATATATAAAAGATTAATATTTAACATATGTAATGGAATAAAAGTAATTAGTGGTTAACAATAAATCACAGTGATAACACTCTTCAAAAAAATAATAGATGAATTGTTGTGCAATACAAAAGTATAAAATAGTATTAGTATAGCAAATGATCAAGGACCTGTTTGATTTATTTTATTTTGCAATTAGTTTTTCTCCCCGATTGTTTTGTAATAATTTAGCCTAGAGACATTTTCCTATACCTTATGTTTCTTAACTTTGTCTTAATATCAAAACAAAACAAAACAAAAAACAAAGGAAAAAGCCTGTTTGATTTTTTTTCCCAAATCTTTTTCTATTATAAAATAAAAAATTAGATAAGTGTTTCAGATTTAAATATTTAAAAAAAATAAAAACATGTCTTAGAACAGTATCTTTATGTTATTTTTTTTAAAGCATGTTATTTATATTTGAATTCAAAACTATCATCAAGTATGGTTAATTATTATTATAAACATAAATTGACTTTTCAACTTTAAAACTGTCTTCACATTAACATAATTATAATTAGAGATTTTTTTTAAGTAGAAGAGGTGATGTGTGTGTCCAATAGGTCAAATAGATAATAAGTTATTAACAAATTGGTTAAAATATTGGAAAATTAAGTAGACAAATATTGTTTGATTGATTCAGAGCTGCTTCTTTTTTGTTGCTTCAAAATGCCGTTAAATATTTTATTAAGTGATTATGATATGGATATTCTATTCCCTCAAATTATGGACCACTTGTATACCTGATGATTTTAGGACTGAATATAATATATTTATTTTGAATATAAAAGAAAATGGCATCTCTTAATTATAAGGTAAACAAACCAAGGACATGTTGGAGAACAAAAAGAGCCTGTAATACAGACAAGCTAGACTTTTCAAATAGAGCTTAATATATGCAAATATATTTAAAAAATCACATAGTTAATACAAAGCTAAACAATATTTGATGCTGCTGAAAATGATAAGTAATGAAGTTGCTGAAAATGATAACATTTTTATATTGCACAGCAATTCATCTATTACAATTACAAAGCTAAACAAGATTTGATGCTCTGAAAATTTAATCTCAGCTTCAGAAAATGCATATTTCTTCTGGGAAAGCTACTTCATGCACTCAAATTCTTACAGGGAGTTCACCATGGAATTTACAACTACAGCATCCAATCATTTATGAAGGAGAGATCACCAAAAATAAGCATGCAAACAAACTAGAATATCTCAAAGGAAAAGTAAATCAATAAATCAATAAACATTTTTCAGTCCGTATTTCATTAGATCATTGAATCATATGAATAACAATCATTAATTTTGCTTGTATAATAAAGGAAAGATGGAGATGTACTTAATAATGAGTAGATGACAGCACTTAATTTATTCTTAAGGATTTTCTAACCCTATAATTTGTTGCCAAAAGAACTTACAATTTAAAAAAAAATGTAGTAGTTCTCTTATTCAACAAACTACAAAATAGAAAATAGTATCCTAAACTAGTAATACGAAGAGGAAAGGAAAAGACACTGAACTCACAATTGAATTTATGCCTAAATAAATGAAGAGAATGCCTATTAATTTCATGACACGTAGACTAAAGAAAATGAGATTGAGGTTGCCTAAACCCACAGTAGGTATGTACGCAATATCTGCCTCTCATTTACATTTTGTATTATTTCTTATACAATCGATTCTGTTTTCTTGACAGATGTAATAGGATTCTTGAAAGGGTTTGGCTCTTACAATTTCAGAAAATTTTAAAGATTATACAGATAAAAACCTGCAAACAATCATTTGTAAAGGAGAGATCACCAGAAAAGGAAAAGCCAAATACAAAGAAGATGGAAGAAGAAGATCGATGAAAGGGGAGGACGGAGCAACAGTATCTGAAAGCGCGATGAAGGAGATGGCGACAGGGCAGATCGATGGATGAGTCTCTTGTGGTGCCGATGGAGATGCGTTCGACTTGAGGTTTGCAATGCTGATGACTTTTATCACGGCAAAAACTCAACAGGGGCACTCTTGTCCAAAAAATATTATAACCATGGATAATATTGTCATGAAATATTGCAAAACCAGGTTTAATTTTTCAGTACCAGGTAAGATGTGGGTTTGTGTAATTTTATCTAAGTGGGTTTCAGCAAATCCAAATAAGAGCTAATACTTTATACCAAACACATTAAATTAGGCCTTATTCAATGCTAATGCCAAACCTAACCCTTTAATGCTACATACCAAACATGGCTTTAGAAATTAGCAAGTAGCAGCGCCTGACATAACGCAAAGACTGGGATTTTAAGCCTCTTCCGATTTCTTATTCAGAGTTGCCCAAATCCTGTGCTCCTTCCATCCAGGTGGTAAAATGGCGGATAACTCTCTCAGAAAGCGAGTTTCTTCTCTTTCATGGTTTACGCCTGAAAGGTACTTCTGTTTTGTCCCCCCTTTTTCCATCTCATTTCACTATCCAGGATTGTGAGGGTTGTGAATTAGCGGCAAAGTAAGTAATTTTCTTCTCTGTTTTAAGGACTTAAGAAACCTAATTTCGCGTTTGGTCCCCCTCCCCACCCCAAATTTATCTTGCCCTGTTGCGTCCTGGTCAGCTTCCCCCTAACTACTTACATGTTTGGTGGATTGTGAGGGGATTGCTGATTGAGCTGGAGAAGGGAAAAGTAAATTAAGAACCGACATAGACCTGGGGTTTACTTTGTTATTTTAGCTGACATTGTTAATGTTATCTACTGATATTCAGTTTTAAATTCTTCATCAGAAAAGAGAAGAAGTGGTTTTTGATCTGAATTAGATGTTTCCGGTAGTTATTGCCTTTGCTCGTGTTTTTGTGTGCCAGTTCTATGTATGGGATTCTAATATTTGTTGTCGAGGTCTTCCGTGACCGTGAGGCTCTAGAGATGTGAATAGTGAATATTGCGGTTTCGCTCTTGTGGATGAATCCCTTCTAACTAGTGATTTGAGAAACTGAAAATAAAATGGTGTTTTTAGAAAATTAGTATGTAAGTCAGTAAGAGAAGGATATTTGCAGTTTGGACTTGGTCTAGACGTGTTTAATGTCTCAAAATAGTATGATGTATTTTGGCACTTGGGATTACATGTATAATGGGGCGCTAAAACAGTGGAAGTTGCCTTTCCTAGCTGTCCATGTTTATACTATGGGAGCCAAGAAATTGAAAAACCTAGATATATGAAATTGTGAATATTTTAATTTCCAAAAGAAAATTTCCAATTTTATGCTATGTATTTTATGTAGACAAACCCTAATTATTCCTGTGTTTTTGTGAATGCTGATAAACTTTTCTCCTCTTTCAGGCTTCTTATTATATTTTGTGTCATTAATTTGATAAACTACGTGGATCGAGGAGCCATAGCGAGTAATGGTGTTAATGGAAGTCTAGAAACTTGTACTGACAGTGGGATTTGTACCTCGGGTAGCGGAATTCAGTAAGCTCTATTTGTACGCTTTGTTTACCATGTAAAGTTGTCAGGCTGTATTTATACATTGACACGGTTGCCAGAACCTCATCATTCATGTGAAATGTTCCTTGTTGGGGCCTAAAATATGGTTCCCAGACTTATGGGGCCTAAAATATACTTCTCTGAATTATGAAATAACATGTGAACACTTTGAGCTTATTGATTTTACTGATCATTGATGAATTTTTATAGTTTTATTTACTTATTTATAGATGTTCAGGTCAAATTTCAAACAATCGGAATCACAGTTGCATGGACCATTGAGATTTTCATCTTAACTGTTAATGACGTCAGTTGCCTGATCTTTGTAAAATTTGAGCTTGTAGTCTATAAAAGAGAATATGTGCAATCTGTACTCATATGAAGGAGACAGATAAAAACATTTGTGAATTACATAACCATTTTTCTTTCTGTAAATGTAAAACTGATAGAGGATTACGGCTTAAGGCTTTTGTACATATCATTGTTTAGTTTTTGTACCCAGGAGTTCATTATTGTAAAATAGGGTTGATATTGTTTGTACCTTCTTCATGTTATACCATATTCAGATACCACAACCATGTGCTAATGCAATATGTCTTTTTGTTCAAGTATTTTTTTTCCTGGTGCTTTTCAATTCAAGTTGCGGGTGTCACTGTTGTACATAATGCAAGTATATATTTTATTTTTACTTATTAATTGGTTTAGCATCATTTCAAGGTGGCCTGCTTCTTGCATTGCAGGGGGGATTTCAAGTTGAGCAATTTTCAAGATGGAATTCTGTCATCAGCATTTATGGTTGGGCTTCTGGTTGCTTCTCCTATATTTGCATCTCTGGCCAAAAGGTGAGCAACTTGATTCTTGACATCCAGCCTTGTAAGGTTTTTTCAACTTAATGAACATGCTATAACCTAATAAGATGAGATTTAGGTTATCTAAGGGGGAGATTTGGAAGCATGATGATTTATTGAACCATAAAGTTTCTCTCAAACCATGATATGCATTGGCTTTTCATGTGTTTGTGTATGTTATGTCATGTAGCACTTGCATGGGTCCTGCAGAAACTGCAGTCGTTTCATGTTAGCATGGGGTAGAAGTGCGCTTAGATAATTCATTCATTTAATTTCAACATCACGGCTCCTTTTTCTTGGACTTTGCATACTTAGCCCATATAATAAGATAATAATCATATGATAAGTTGTAGTTTCATGTGGATGCTAAGATTCCACTCTAAACAATCACCTCAAGGTTTAGGGTATTAGGTACAGGATCAAAAAAAGATCTAATCCCTTACACGGCCTCATGACAGAGTCCACATTTAAAATGATTAAGCTGATCATGAGAAGTGAATTCTACATTTGGGATAGTGTTCTGAAATCCAAATCCTTGTAAGTTGCATATCACTAAAAACAAGACCTTTCACTGATGACAAGGTTCAGCTATTGGACCTTGTAAATAGACATTTCTTGTACTCCTCCTTGCAGATTTGGTTATTATAATCAAGTGAAAGACAAGTGGCATGAGAATTCTATAAGTGATTGTCTGTTGCTCTACTTATACATTCATTTTTATGCTCATTGTTTTGATATGATTTATTTGTGCTTTTTAGGTCAAACTAATTATTAAGGAAATAGAGAGAAAGTCACCATTTGATATTTGTAATCTTGATTATGTAACACTGCAAGCTAGTCAATTATGGGGATTGATACCTGCTAAAAACAAGACAAGTTTCAGCATTTAGTCGTGCTTGGGTGACAAAAAAAAAACAAAGAAAGAAAGAAAGAAAAAAAGAAAGCACATTTGCTAGATGACATTAAAACTACACGCACAGGAAGGTGATAATATAAACCATATGTTTGGCTTTAGCAAATATATGATATATCCAGGTAGCTATGATGTGGGATTAGCTCTTAATTTCATTTTTGGAATCTCCTTGTTTTCCTTTAAATGGTATGTTGATTCGTGATCTACTTTGCTATTGTGTTTGCAGTCATAATCCATTTCGGCTAATTGGAGTTGGCTTATCTGTTTGGACATTTGCAGTAGCTGGCTGTGGTAGTTCCTTTGATTTTTGGTCTATTGTGATATGCCGCATGTAAGGGGGATTTTCAGTTCTTGCAAGGCACTGACAGAGTAGCATTTTCTTATAATAATTTTGAGTTAGAACGATGGCAATGGTTTTGTAGGCTAGTTGGTGTGGGTGAGGCATCCTTCATAAGTCTCGCGGCCCCATTTATAGACGATAATGCTCCTGTTGCACAGGTTTGTCTGGGCTTCCCCTCCCCCTTCAGGATTTGCTGAACTTATTAATCCATTGGAGAAAAGCTGCAGCTTTACAGAGTGCTTTATTGATTGCAGAAAACAGCATGGCTTGCTATGTTTTACATGTGTATACCAGCTGGGACTGCTTTGGGCTATGTTTATGGCGGTATTGTAAGTTTACTTGTTTATGGTTGTAATCTTGGGCTAAGTTTCATGCTTTGCTCAAGAGCCATTAACTAAGCTCAAACTTAATTTTTCTTGTATTAGCAATAATTTAACAAGAATGATATATTATGATTTATTAATTTCATTTTGCAATTTACCTGTCAAAATAATATAGCATGACCTATACACAATAGTAACTAATGCTCAGCTAAGTGCTCCAATATATCCAATATTCTTAAATTTGGCAATCATTGTTAACATTAAAGGTCTGAAGATTGAAAAGCCTATGAATAAGAATCTTGTCTGCAGCTTCTTCATAGTGTTGGCCTCATGATTTTTTCTTAACGGGAGCAGCAGTTTTGGATATACGGTGGGACTGAACAGCGCTGTTGCATGTTTAACTTTTTGTTTTTTCTATGTTTTGCTTTCCTATTATTTTGCTTTCTCGTCAGAATACCCAATCCTCCTCATTTGTCCCTTTCTTTTCTCTTAATAAAATGTTTTTTTTTCCACCAAAAAGGAAAAAAAAGATTGAATAGACAATGAGCACCTCATTCTACAAGTTATCCATCTGTTCAGCCATGCCAATTTTTACTGTTGTGTCAATTCATCCTGACCATGCACATCCATACAGCAATTGTATGATGCTGTGATTGTGGAAGATGGTGTGTGGTGAAAAATGTTGGGTACAGAAAATATTGTTATGATTCTCTTATACATTTTTTTTGTTCGAACTTGTCATATACTTGAATAACTTAGGTTCTACAATCATTCATTTGATGGCTTCCCTTTACTAGTGCATGAATGGGCAATATTTTGAATTGTAATCTTGTGTAGGTTGGAAGCCTTGTTAATTGGCGCTTTGCATTTTGGGGCGAGGCAATTTTGATGCTTCCTTTTCCTATTCTGGGTTTTGTAACTGAGCCTTTGCCATTGAGAGGTATGCATTTTTTTGTTTTTTAAATATTTGTAACGTGTTCCAGAATGTCAGGAATTCATGTTACTGATACATTATTTGATTATGCAGGCTTTGCTCCGATGGAATCCAGAGAGGCACTAGTATCTGTTGAAGCAGTTGCTCCAGAAACTGAAGGTATCACTGAACCCTAAAGTATTGCTTTGGTTGTAATATCTTTTGGCTGCCTTTTAGAGATCCTTAAACTCATCTTACCTTGGTGTTTTACATAATAGCAAGGTAAAATAAGACGTGTTAAAGCCCATTTATAGAGCATTAACTCTAAGCTTATCTTTAAAAGTAAATATTGTGAAATCCTGAGAATTAAATGCAAAGATTCTAGAATAATCTAAAAGATAGTCTACTATTATAAAAGATTACATTTATTCAAACCAAATCTTGATCTAAATCTAAGAGATGATTATAGTAAAACAAAAATCCTAAATCTAATAAATCCTATATCCCATCACAATGTCTTCAAGAAAACCAAACATAAAAATCCCTTGCAGTATCTCTGTTGAAAAGAGGATAGATAATGAGGTATCAATTACATTTAAAATAATACGTGAATTGCAGCCATTCATTGAGTTCAACAATATCTTCGAATCTTGTAATCTTGACAATTAAATATGTAGGTGTGTCCATGTTTCTGTTTCAACGTGTACTATCTGGTTTAGCATTATATCAGGGTTTTACCATATGCCTGGATTTTAGTGAACAGATATGTTATGGCAAGATCAGCACCTTGTAAATTCCAAATTTTTTTCTTGTTAAATTTGTCCTATAATTTCTTAACTCCAATTTTCATTTCAATCAAAAAACCTATGCTTATTATGTCACTTTTCCATTCAGGATAATTCTGTTCATAAGCTCCATATATTTGTTTCGATTATTATGGCCTTTTCATATGGTATTAAATAATGTTTATACTCAAAATCTGAGATTTCCCTTGTAGATGATGGCACACTTGCTGGGGGTCAAGCTTTTGTCACACAATCCAAGTGAGTGGCCCTTTTCGTTGATGCATTTTTTTTCCCAGTAGTTTCTATGGTTTCTTTTTCTCTTGCTAATGAAAAGATGGCTCGTATGGCCATTAACTTTTATACTGTAGTTAATCTTCCAGTTCATCTAGTAATACTTCATAGCATTTAAGGAAGTCCTTGTGAATCTACAAAAACCTTGATGATATGATCAAAATAGACTAGTGAACTTGTTGTTTCTCCTGATATTATGGCATATTAACCACCTCTATTATGAGATGGAGTGAAATCATATATGTGCCTATATGCCTCTACGATGGGTGATTTGTTGTCAGGTCAGCTTCAAAATTGTGGAATCAGTTCACCAGAATTGCTAATGACATGCAGACTCTTTTGCATGATCAAGTGTTTGTTGTAAATGTTCTAGGTACTTACTTATTCTTGACTCTTTCTCCCTATCTTATGAGAATTAACTTTTTTCCCCTTGTTTTATATTCTGAAATCCCATCTTCATCTTAACAATCTATAAAATTGAAACTTTTTTAAGTAGTTTTTGTCAACATTATTGCTTAATAAGTTGGAACTAATTTCAGTTTTGAGAAACTGGCATACTTAGTCAATTTGAAACTAATTAAATTCTTTTTTGAGACAATAATGGTTTATTTGTTGTCTAGTCTTTTGAGCTTATGTACTTTTCTTTTATGTTCCTTATTTGCTGTTCTGGGACTTCTTATCCTTGTTTTTTGTATTCCTCCTCCTTCTGTTAAATGATGTTAAAAATAGTTGTTGGTTTCCAGGCTACATATCATATAATTTTGTCATTGGAGCTTACTCATACTGGGGACCGAAAGCAGGATATAATATTTACCATATGGTATTGTCACTTGTAGCCCTTTTAATTTAGTTCTATTTCCTTTTCTTTTTCTGCTGTTACTTATATTTTCCCTTTCAATTCAATTTATTGCCTTGGTCTATAGGCAATGTTCTAGTTTGACTGATTTTTTTTTTGACAGGGTAATGCTGACTTGTTATTTGGAGGTATGACAGTTGTTTGTGGGATTTTGGGCACGTTAGCTGGAGGCTTGATTCTTGATAAGATGACTTCAACGATCTCTAATGCTTTCAAGGTATTGTTAAATTTCGTTTGCCTATAATGTGAAATATTGACCTGCCTGTCTACTTTTTATCCCCCACTTAAAACTCTATACTCGAGAAGAGGGCGAATCCCTTGATATCTGTAAATATAAAAAAGAAACAAGGAATTCAAGTCTTCTCATTAACAGTAACTTGATGACTACATAACTATAAGACATCGTTTACTTCAAAAGCACTTTTTGCTTTCTCCCAATTGATGCTTTTGATGCACAACTCCTTGGTTTTCAGCTGTTAGTCAACAATTTTAGAGATTTTCCTTTTTACATGAGTATTTGTAAACTATTACACATAAAAAGGTCCGTGTTTTTTTTTTTTTTAACCAAAACTCAGAGCTGTGTTCACTGGTGAATTTGTTGTCTTCTTGTTTTCTTCTGTTTCTGGTTATGATGACGTTCACATCTCCTGTGACTGTTATAACGACCCTTACTTTTAGGGTTAACATTTATGAAACTGAGGGTGCTTTATTTATCCGTCTAGACAACCTTCAAAGATTTGATTCTGCTAAATATAAATCCAGAAAAATCAGAAGTTAAATTTTAAATATCCTAGGCATCTTTCCCTTTGATTTAGCCAATGCTTTTAGAGACCATGTCCTTTGAGTTCCTTGTCATGGATCTTTAGTTAGCTTCAATTATGTCTAGGTCTTCATTGCATAATCATCTTTGGCTTTTTACATTTATTAAGTTGCCTAACTTCTTTGGGGTACATTTATTACTATTTCAGCTTCTTTCTGGAGCGACATTTCTTGGGGCAATATTTTGCTTGGGCGCATTTTGTTTTAAAAGCTTGTCAGGATTCTTGGTCCTTTTCACTATAGGTGAACTACTGATTTTTGCCACACAGGTAAAATATGCTATTTTATTAAGGGTTGACATGCTATTTCTCTTACATAATAGTTGTACGATATTTTTTTTGTACTGGATTGTGGTCTCAGATGCTTCACTTGAGGACTCGATAATTAGATTTAAGCTGATAATCTAGTCTCAGAACTTTCTCTTTTGCTTAATTTTACTTAATACCCCCTCTTCTTACCTTACATTTAAAAATTAAAATAAAACTCCATCAATTGTTAAATTCTTTAGAGATGCCGGTCTGTTGGTTAAAACAAACCAGTGTACACTGTCTTGTTGAATATTTTGCGTCGTTTAGATATGTGCAAATAGCCCTGTAGTAGATTTCCCCACAAACAACTTGTTTTTCTTTTTGGAATTCCACACTGTTGCATTCTTTGGATCTTAAGATGGTCTTTGATGGAGACTTGATAGCATGAGATGTCAAGTCTCACATTGAGCAGTATGGGATGCTCAACTGGGCATTTTAGTGAGTTGGTTCTCCTATCTCAACGGTTAGCTTGTGGGGTAGGGTTCCCCATCTTACCTAGGTACCCATTAATTGGTATCAAAGTTTGCTTATCAGTGGTTTTCGAGAGGACTATCCATGAAGGGTTCTGAGCTGTAGGAACCCGAGTTAAGTGCCATGGGATGCAACTGCTGAAACATCAGCTTTTCATGAGTGGCAAATTGATTGAGACTTGGTAGTATGGGATACTAAATCCCACATTGAGTAGTATGGGATGCTCAATGGAGTAGTTATGTAGGTTGGTTCTTCCATCTCAACCGCTAGCTTTTGGAGTAGGGTTCTCTATCCTATGTAGGTAACCATCAGTCTTCCTTAGTAGTTTGTACTTGGTAGAATATTTTAGGTTGTTTTGACTTCTTGCAGAATAGTTTTTGCTTAGTTCCTTCATTTACTTGTTATACTTAATTCAATTGTAGTTGTAAGCATATTTTAATGAATTTATGGTTCAAATGTTCATATTTAGCTTCTTTAATCCTCCATGTTACTGCTTCTTTAATCCTCCATGTTACATGCAGTGTCTCCAAAATTTTATCCTTTGATTCAATTAGTCGCACTAATATCTGCTTCCACCCTTGTTTATTTGTTTATTTTGAATTATCTCCTTGAATTAAATTCCTTCATTGACCAGGGAGATCAACCTCTTATTGAGCTTGATAATGCTTGAATCTGACCCAGTTAAATATAGCCATATAAAAAAAAAATCCTTCATTGACCCAAACAATTACAAAACACTTCAAGCGACACAATAAATAAAATGTCATAATCTTCTAGAATGGCTTCTTACACATTTCATGCGGTGATCCGCTGCTTTATGCATTTCATGTCGGTGATCCGCTGCTTTATGCTGGGTATGTTTTATTTTGTGTGTTGTTATAGTCTGTTACTTAGTTGGGGCTACTGCTTAAATATTTGGTTGATGACATACCATTACTTTTGCAGGCTCCTGTGAATTATATTTCCTTACATTGTGTAAAACCAAGTTTGAGGCCACTGTCTATGGCGATCTCCACTGTTTCAATCCATGTATTTGGAGATGTACCTTCCTCACCACTTGTTGGGATCCTGCAGGTGTTTACTGATGTTTTACTTAATACTTTGAATTGTTTGGTTACTTTCATATTTGGATGTTAACAGATTGCAGTTTAATTTGCTTAAATCATTTAGTTTGATCGGAATATCTTATTTATGCCCTGCAAATGTGCTTGAAGTATCTGTTTTCATATATAGCTCTGTTCTCTGTGAGACTAGTATATAATGTGAAAGCTGCAGAAAATAGCGCTTGATTCATAGGCTAGAGGAGAGGAATATAATTTAAATAAAATTTAGGGGAGGTTTCTCTAAATTCTAATTTATTTTCATTTTCTAATCTATGTGAGATTCGTATTATCAACTGCAGGAAAGTTGTTATTTTAAATGCTTAAGGGTCTGTTTGGATTTCAGTTGGGTATAATAGATTATGAAAATAATTGATTAAGTGATAGATTTTAATCATAATTGATTATGTTATAACGCAATGTGTTTGGATACTTTTTTTTTTAAATTGATTTTAACAGAATTAAAAATATTTGAATAATTTAATCAGAATCAATTTTAATTATATAAATTACTATATAATTTAATTCTTAAATATCAAACATTAATTTTTTGAGAATACAACATTTAAATTTTATTAAGGAAAAAAGGAGAGAAGGGAAGAGAGTTTAATTTTATTTTTATTAAATTATGTGCTTTATTTGTAATTTTTTTGTGGTCTTCTTTTGTAATTTTCTCCAACATTTTTTGATTAACTTCTGGTAAAAGCTCATTCCATCAGCTTCCGAAAAAACGCGCGTAATACGTCAGAATCGATTTTTGTTTTTTTCAGCCGTTTGGGTAATTTCATTTTAAAAATCAATTTCAGGCACAAAAATCGATTTTGAAGCCTAACCAAACGGGCACTAAACTGTCTTAAAAGATTGAAAAATGCTCTGTGTGTGCATCTCTATTAGCTTCTCCCTTTAATTTTAAAGTTTTAAACCCTTGGAGGACAGCTTATCAATGTGCTCCTTGAGTTTTGGTTGGAAAGACAGTGGAAATTCTAGAAACAACAGCTGTCTTTGACCATAGTTTCCATACAAGAATCTCTCTCAAGGTCATGTTGGATTTCCGTTCACAGGATCACATTCACAACTGGAGGAAGACAGCCCTTATTCTAACCTCCGTTTTCTTTCTGGCTTCTTTAATATGGTTCATCGGTGAGTGCCATGCAATTTTTTTTTGGTTATTTTCTGTTCTTAATTTTATATGGTAGTAAATGTTGAGCTTTGACGGGACAACAAGAGTATAAAGTTGGAGTAGCAAAGATGAGAATGTTGGGATAGATATGTTGATATACACGTAAAAACAAAATTCAAAATGAGTGAATATAGAAAAAAGTGTGGGTGTGGCACCTATTGAAGAAAAAATGATAAAAATCATGAGGTGATTCGAACATGTACAAAGGAGACCACAGGAGGCACCAGTGAAGAGAGTGGAACAGATGACTTTGAGCCTTATTAAGAAGAATAGAAGAAGACCGAAGAGAACACTTTTGGAGGTTGTTGAGCGAGATCTTTTAATTAATAATATTCCTAAAATTTAATAAATGATAGAGTATAATGGTGTCATATAATTCATGTAACCGACCCCACCTGGTAAGATAAGGCTGTTTGTTGTTGTATTTTCTGTTCTTAATTTCTCCAATATATGCGTCGAACTTGTGCTGACATTTAATTTATGGAGGCACAAGTTCTAGAGAATGAGTGAAAGATGTCAAAAGCCCTGCTCTAAATGGATCTGTAATTTGTCTGAAAATTAGTTTGGAAACTGATGAAATGACCTTGTGTTAATACCCAGAAAAACGATGTAACAACAATTTTGATAAAATTTCTGGTGGTATTTGTTGCTTGAGGACGGTTGCTACTATTTGTTGACTTTTTCCTTGTAGACAGAAGAGGGGTAATCCTATCTATTTTTTACAGGGATTTTTTTAAACAGTGTTGATCTATTCAGCGAAGAGGCTGACGAACACCCTGCTACATGTAGAAGAGACAAAATGAAGCCATTGCTTGAAGATGATTCCAGTGAACCCTAATGCGTCATGCATCCTTGAGAAGTAAAAAAAAAAAATATATATATATATATATTATTATGCTTATGAATGTCACATAACATGAGTTGATTGCCTTCGTGGTTGTGAATTTCATCTGACATGAGATGTGATTGCTTCTTGCTCATGTCAATCCGTTAAATTTGTGGGACGCAGAAAATGTGGGTGACGGAATTATCTTTATGGAAGGGCTATGGTAACATTACAGGTCGGGGACAATGGGCAATCAAGTGATGATGACAACTCTTGAAGTGTAAAATATACTGTTATGTCTGATAGGTGAGACGGAGGGAAGGGCAAGTCCCCGTAGTGTTAATATTTCTGTTGTTTAAAATGTATATACGAAACATGACGAGATATTTATATTATAAAAATGAAAATGTAAAGATGTATTCCTATTCTTGTTTGTTTGTTTTTATAATTTTATCTAAATCTCAAAGGGTTGAGAAGAAGGATTACGTTTAAACTGCCCCCTCCATTTTCTTCCTTCAAAAAAGATGAAAAAGAAAGGGAAAAAGGGGGGGTGGAAATTGGAAGACTTATTTAAGTTTTATATATTTAATGTATTTATTTTTAATTAAATTAAGAAGTTTAAAACCTTTAATTTTTGTGAAGTTTTCCTTTCTTTAATGTCTTTCTCCATTTTATTATTTTTTATAAAATATAAAATGTTTTTCTCACTTCCTTAAAAGGTAAATCTTATAAAATATATAGATTTCAATTTCAGATGGTTTAAATTTTAAATCAAGATATGAATCTTTTAAAGTTTGTTTATTTTATAACAAACTTTTATTATTAATATTATTAATACATTAAATTTATTTATTTTGATTTAATTGGATAGAAATGCATTAAATATATCAAATTAAATATACAAGTCTAGCCTTTATTATTATTATTATTATTACTGCTACACATTGGTGTACGTGTATTCTTATTGGCAAGATTTTAAAAAGATTTATGTATTTAGTTTTATATATTTAATATATATATATATATATATTCAATCAAATTGCATAAATGGATATTAATGTTAATTAAATTAACAATAGGTATTTATTATAAAATAAATTATTTATAAAAAATTTATATATTTTGATTTAATTGGAAACAAACATATGTATATAAGGTTGAGCATATAAATTTTTTCCATTCTAAAATCAAGCTAGTTATTAAACCAATTAAAATATTAATTTAAAGATAAATGTTTAAAATTGTACTTGAACCATGATCAAATCAATTATAATCAAAGTATTTTATTAAATTGGGTCAAAACATTGATTTAACAATTTAACCAAGTAGGTTGACATGGATCTCTATGCAATGTCTAGAGGCAATTTTATTAGAAGAACAACTAGGCATTAATATATATATATATATATATATATCTCCTAGTCAGGACTCAAATATTAGTTTATCATATTATGAGGGGCTAATTGCTTCTATTTAATCTTTTTTTTTTTGGTTACCTATATATACACGCTATTGAAGGCATTTATATTCAAAGTATTGTTAAACATCAAATGTAGATGTCTTTTTAACAAGAATTTAAATATTGTTTTGTTATATCATGAAGGGTTAGTTTTATTTACAAAACCCAACTTTTATTGAAAGTTTAATTTAATTTTTGTTGCTGGCAAGCTATCCTATTTAAACCTTTTGGTTTGATAAGACTTTAGGTGGACTGCTGCTTCGTGGTTTGCCTTTGGAAGCCATGTGGGACTCCAGCGCGGAAGCTCCATCTTCTTTCACTTCTTTTACTAACTTCTTTGAAGGACTTCATAACTTTTTTTAATAACATATATTTTATATTGGTATCTCATATTATTTATCTACATTTTTATTTTAGTAAAACGTTTTAAATTTTAATTTATATTTATCTCTAAAAATAAAAATACTTGATGATATTTAAAAAGAGGTTAAAAATCTGTTTAAATTGATCTTTGAAGGTTTTCTTTATTTTTGTAACTTTTTCTTGATATGTGAACAAATATTTCATATTTGTACGGTAACTATTTGTTTATATATTTAAAACAAAATGCATGAAATTTTAATTTCAATTTGGCTTTAAGAAAAAAGGTTGAAACGTAGTTATACTAAGCAGAATATAATTAATGACTTCTTGAGAAATTCCATTTCTAATTGACTACGAAAGCAGACTCAATTGGAATGGCGAACCGTGAAGTGCGAAGCGCATTTCCTTAAAATAAAAAACCGTGAGGCAGTAGCGTAGCGCCCAGCCGCCCAGTGGTTGCTCGTGGTCTAATAAAAAAAGAAGACAAAGGACATGCCATATCTATCAATAATTTATCTCTAGCTTTGTTGAATTAATTAAGGTCATCATTAGCAGTGGTCCACATTATACCCCCTCGACATCGTCAGCATTTGAAGTAAACTTGGTTGTTTCTTCTTCAGTTCTGAGCGATCTTCCTTCCTCTCTGCTTCTGTGTTTCCAAATTCCTGTTGGCTTTTGTTTATATTTACAAAACCCCATTTCCGAGTTTCACCTGCAATCCTTAATCTTGTGAGCTTTTTGCTTAATCATCCTGTCTTTTTTTTTTTTCAACGTCATACTGTGATTTCGGGAATAGTTCTCTTGCAAAGGCGTTGGATATTCAGTTTGGTTCCCTTTGTTCCTTCAAGTTCTTTGGGAGCTACCAAAAGTTTGGTAAGATTCTAAACTTTTGATCAAAAGCGCCTTTTTACAGAATTTGCTGGCCTTTTGTCTGCTTATAGTGAGTTTGTGGTATAATTTCGTCATGCTTCATTGATCGCATTTATTGGAAATCAGTGAACAATTCCTCAGTTATTCTTAATATTTCAGTCGGTAGGATCGTATTTCGTCACAATGTGGACATGTATATACCACATTTGCAATTTGAGACCTCAAGCAGGAAAAGGAATCAGCTTTATCTTGTGCTATGGTTTTCAATCCCCCATAGTTTGTTCTTGTTAGATGCATACCTTTTTTTAAGGTTTAAGAACAAACAAATACAGTGCAGTACGGTGGATTCATGTTATTCTAAACTCAATATTTATTGTCCATTTGCTGGAGTTGTATTTGATAGATTGCCTATGGTTAGGTATCATTTTGGGGGTGTATCCTGAGACCTCGAACTGTGTTCCATAGCTTATCTCATTTGCTGGTTTTGTACGTATTGCTGAGTATTTTTCTTTTCTGAGAATTGGGGCTGGTGATGATCTGAAATTGTGGCAGTTTAGAGGTAACAACAAGTCTAAATTATCTCCTTTTTTTTTTTTACTGTTAGCTATTTCTTAGGGTATGGATTTTCAACATTTTGAATTGTATGGCAGGTTTCTAATATTTTTTTCATAGAGAGAAGTTTATATGAATTGTGTCCTCGGACAAAGGTTAGGGTAGGTCTCATCGCTTAAACAGTTTTTACAAATCTATTTATATATTATCCACCAACAAGTTGCTTACCCAAATGCTCCTTGGGTTGTGATATTATGAACCCTTCAGAGAATCCTTGTGGTGGACCCTAAATAAGTTGGATCAATTTTATTTACTTGCATTTAGGAAATTAATTTTGTCAGTTTTGGATAATTTCTGAGGCATTGTATGATTTCTTTTACCTTTCGTTTCAAATTGATGCCTTCTAGAAGTATGTTCTGAACATATGAAAGATACAAAACAAAGTAAAGAATCAAGTTTGTTGTTAAACGTTATTGAGGAGTTATGTAATTGCTAAGATATATAGCTTCTGTGCTCATATAAAAGAGAGGGAAGTTTTTGTGCATCTAAGTCACCGCTCTTGTCAATTGTCACAGTATCAGACAAAGACCAGAATGGAAGAATCAGCTGCGACGAAATCATTTGACTTGTGTTTGTAGTCTGAAATTACTAATGCCAGCATTTTTCCTTGTGAAATTTATCTTTCTTTTGGGGTGAATTGTTTTCCCTGGTAAAGATATATTCCTTCAACTTCCATCTCGGTATTATATGAGCTTGAAACTTTGACAATTATATTTGTTCTGGTGCTAGGCTGCTAATGCCTGTATCAAATATGTTTGTAATTTCTCTCATTCATTGTGTAAATGGCCTACTAGCTTACACCATGACATGTTCATATTAATTGCGCTTCATCATATTTTTCCCTCCCCAAGAGACTGAGTTAGGCTGGTAAAAGGAAATGGCATAACTTCTTTTCAACCTATGTTCAATCATCTGAATAAATACCAGAATTTCCATAAACATTGGAGTTCCAATATTGCAGATGGATGTAGCCAAGGACCTTACTGCTGGCACATTTGGAGGTGTAGCACAATTATTATGTGGACACCCTTTTGACACCATCAAGGTCAAGCTCCAAAGCCAGCCTGCACCACTTCCTGGGCAGCTTCCCAAGTATTCTGGTGCTATTGATGCTGTCAAGAAGACATTAGCTGCTGAAGGTCCCAGGGGGTTATACAAAGGTATGGGTGCGCCACTTGCCACAGTAGCAGCATTTAATGCTGTCCTGTTCTCGGCCAGGGGACAAATGGAGGCCTTATTGAGGTCCCATCCTGGTGCTCCCCTTACTGTCAAACAGCAGGCTGTTTGTGGAGCTGGTGCTGGAATTGTAGTTTCCATTCTAGCTTGCCCCACTGAACTCATTAAATGCAGGTCAGTGATCAATCACCCTTCTGAAGTCATTTTCTACAGAGAAAATTTCTTTTGGTAGTAGTATTGATCTATATGAAATTTTTGGACCAAATTGATCATAAACATAATTAGACTTGTCAGACATATTTTTTTTCCTTTGTGATCTGCTTCTGACATGTTTTTATGTCTTCCATGGTTGGATTGATCTACAAGTAATCACCTACATTTAGTTCCAAGTTCAAGGTTTTCTTTTCTTTCTTGTCTGTTTCTCTTTGAAGCATTTACAAGATGAGATTAAACATAGAAGTTCGTCCTTTCAATTCAAGTTTATCATCAACATACCCGCTGCCTCCTTGACTTTTACTCAGAATTAGATTGTTGGTTCATGCTTTGCTTGTATTTTAAAGCAAACCCCATTACTTATAGCTCAAAAATAATGTGGCTTCCTATAGATTTTATATTATATAATAATACAAATATATAGATATCTTGATCCTCTAATAATTGGGCTTTCCTCTTCAGGTTGCAAGCACAAAGTGTTCTTGCAAGGTTCTGGTACAGCTGTTGCGGCTGTCAAGTATGGAGGACCCATGGATGTGGCTAGGCAAGTTTTAAGATCCGAAGGGGGAGTGAGAGGTCTATTCAAGGGCATGGTTCCAACAATGGCGCGTGAAGTACCGGGAAATGCCGTTATGTTTGGTGTATATGAAGCAACAAAGCAGGTGCTAGCAGGGGGTTCTGATACATCTAGGCTAAGTAGAGGCTCCTTGATTGCTGCCGGAGGCTTGGCTGGAGCTTCAGTGTGGTTTGCTGTTTACCCAACTGATGTGGTTAAGAGTGTGATTCAAGTTGATGATTATAGAAACCCCAAGTTTTTTGGTTCCATTGATGCTTTCAGCAAGATTTTGGCTTCAGAAGGGTTAAAAGGTCTTTACAAGGGCTTTGGTCCTGCAATAGCTCGAAGTGTTCCAGCAAATGCAGCTTGCTTCTTGGCTTATGAGATGACCAGATCAGCCCTGGGTTGATTTATCTTTGTTAATGACACATTGTTTCAAGCAATCATTCTTTTATAGGTGATTATGTTATATTAATGTTGGTCCTTGGGAGATAAGAGGAAGAATCTATATATTTTACGCGGAGAATTTGGGAAATATTTGAGGACTCTGGATGTTACTCTCATACTAACAAGGGTGTGGAAACAGAGAGGTTGAGAGAGTTGTTTATGTTTGGATTGTTGGAAGGTTTCCAAGGGGGAGAGTCTACCACAAATAAGTAAAACTACTTTCCGTCAAGACATGGACGGAAAGGTTCAAGTCTCTATGAAAAGGTAAATTTTTGGACAAGATTAACCTTGTCAAAATTGCTTCATTCCCATTTTACCGTTTGGCTTAATTATTTTATTCAGTGTTTAATACATGAAGATATAACCTGTTCATCCAATCCACGTTGCTTGAAATTTTTTGCTACAACGGATTATACACGTTTTGCTACATTAATGGAAACAGGTTATATAATGTTTTATTATGAATTATGCCCCCTTCCCCCCAAAAATAAATTGTAGTTAACTTGTAGTTGGTGGGAATTATGTTAAATAATTTAATTTTTTAAATTAGTCCCTGAAATAAATATATAGTAGAAAATATAATTATTAAATGTTATTTGAATATAGTTTATTTCTTTAAATTGGACTAGATTATTGAATATATTTAGTTTTCTTGGCTATATTTTTTTGAATGACTTGACTATGTTTGGAGAATCGATAAGATTTGGGTTTTCATATCTTTAATTAGTTTTTAGTCCGTCGTTACATTTTATTTCATTCATACCAAACATGGAAAACCTACTTTCCACCATTTTTTCTAATCACACCAAACAAGATTTGAGCCTTATTTTAAATTTAAAAAATGATAATTAAGTCTTAAAAAGTTAAATTAATGACAATTAAGTCTTAAATAAAATTTTAAAAAAAAGTTATAAATATTGATTCAGAATGTTACAAACGAAAGTTCATGTTGCAATTCAAAAGTTATATTTAATATTTGAATATTTGTTTATAATTAAAACTCTTAAATTTATAATTATTTATATGGATATTTTTAACTTATTTTTTAAAAATCTAACTATCATATATTTATTTAACATTATGGGACTTAAAATCTATCCTGTATCTCCCCGGACACAATCATAACTAGAATGTGTCAGCCGATGACAATCTCGAGCTTTCAACAGTCCCTAAATTAACTTACAAATTGCTGAGTCTACCGAATCTTCAAGAAGTGATTATTATAAAGATGTGATATGTCCAATAATTGAGCTTAATGCATTGTTTATTGTAACCTTCCATCGCTCCATCGCAACTCGTAATCAAGTTTAATAATTGATTTTGTCTTTATTTTGAAAAATATAAGAGAGCCAATTAAGTTGGAAGACATTAACATACATGCGCAAGGTATAAATAATATCATTTCAAGTGAATTTTAATTTTAGTCATGCTTTTAATTCATATCCATCTTTTGTCTTTCGTGCTACATAAAGTGATAATATATAGATTCATTCATTTCATGTTCCTTTTAAATTTTTCGTTTTATAAGGTATATCAATATTATGTGCATGCTTTGTGCCTTGTGCTCTTAACATGTTTATATGCCAATTCATGATTTGTTTCCCCAACAAATTTTATTAAATGGTATTGTCTATTTTAAAAAATGAAAACTAAATTGCATATTCAGTAAAATAACATGTTGCATCAATCCTGGTGAGATAATATTTTCTAACTTATACATAGACATAAAACAGCTTTAACTATTTATGTATCAAAAATTTTTCCATCTTTCCACTTGTTCCCTTAATTAATACTCATCTTTTTCTTAGCTTAACTTTACAGTAGGCCAAGTTTTTTATTCATTTATTAGGAGCATTTTTTTCTCAAAAAAAGATATTGATAATATTACTTTTTTAAAAACTTAAATTATTTTTTTATATATATAACAACACACATATTCCAATTTTTTTAAAAAAATAATTATCCAAAGAGGAGGAGGAGGAGGATTAGCATATATTACCTCCGTCCAAAATTATAAAATATTTTTTGAGAAGATTTAGTATCATAAAATATAAGATATTTTGATAAAAATAAAATTTTACTCTCTCTATTTTAAATTATAAAACATTTTTAGAAAAAAATTTCACGTACCAATAAATCTCATTGAATACACTTATCAATCTTATTTTTTAATATAAAAATATAAAATTTTAAAAATATTTAATATTTAATATATTGAAAAGAAAAGGGATGAAAATTAATTATAGAGAGAGAAAGGATAATATCAAAAAAAATATTTGATGAAACTTTAATCTTTTCAAAGTATCTTATATTTTGAGATGTTAAATTTCTCTCAAAAGTGTCTTATAATTTGAAAGGGAGAAAGTATTAATGATACTTTTTCAATATTACCCTTCTCATTATATTTTTTCTCTTTAATATTCTTTTATAAATTGACTATTAAATGAAGGATAATTTTAAAAATTTATATTTTTATTTTAAAAAATAAGGTTGTAAAATATAATCCCTTCTCTCCAAAATAAAAGCAATTTTTATCTAAAATGTGCATATCAATAATGTCATTATTCACATATAAATATATATTATTTTTACTTTTTACCCTTAATCTTAATTACAAATGCACTTCATGATGAGGAGGAAAAATTTTACATATACTAGGTTAATTATAGTTTGAACCAAAATTAGTTGAGAAAAATGCTTTTATTTTAGACAGAAAGGAGTATTTAATAAAGTTTTATTAATATGCGTAATTTTATTTAAAAATATCTTATAAATTGAGATAAAAGATTACTATATAAATACTACTATAGTTCTTAACAATAAATTTTACAACTGGTAGCGATAAATTAAGTACATCATGTTATCTATGATCTATCTAATCAAATTACACAAATTCAATTAAATAAAATTTTATATGTTATTATTTTTAATAATTTTATTTTTGTAATAAAATGCCTATTTAATGTATTAAATTTTCTCTTTCCATTGTAATTAATGTTAAAATTAATTTGTATTTAATTTGATTTTAATATCATGTTTTTTTCATGTGAACATGAATAACATGATACACCCAATCTCTTTAAAAATTTCTCAAGAATCGGCACAAGTTTCCAGACACTCTTGATGTCTATCCAAATCCTATAATTTCGTGAAAATTACCTACCTCCTATCTAATGAATAATTAATTATTGGTAGTATCAAAGAAAGATAGTTAAAAAATTAAAATCTTAACTATCCAACTATTTTTTTTGGTATGAATCCAACTATTTTTCTTGTTTCATATATTTTAATTAAAAATACTTTATATTTAAAATGAAGCTAATTATCATTTTTCCAATGTTACCCTAAGAATTACGGTACCCTCCCTCATAATCTCTTTCCACCTAATTAGTTAAGATAGTTAAATGCGGAGTAATTAGTGCAATTTTTGTAAAGAGTAAATAATGGAGGAGACAATTTGAAAATAGATCCTATAAAAAGGACAAAATAAACAATTCCAAAGGAGTCCATAGAGAGGACGAGAGGGAGTGATAATTATTCACGGTGCTTATTATAAAACTTTCTTTGTAAATTGTCGTTGACATTTATTAGTTTTTACTAAATGCCCTTATTTATGATAGTTCAGCACAATTGTCATTCACTATTTTTCATACTGTAGTAATCAAGAGAGAGGGATTGGTTAAGTGGAGTTAGATTATTAAGGGTAATTTTCTAAACTAATTCCAATTAGTGACAATTTTAATAGAATTATTAACTTTACCCAAATTTCTTCATGTATTTGAAATAATTAAAATGGTTTTTATGACAAAGACTAGAGATTAGGTATTAATTTTTTTGACATTCAATCACATTATTCCACATCTTGCTAGTACACTTTTCATCCTTACAACTGTTTACTACTTATATATATAACTATTTAATTAGATTAGATTTGAAAATTACCGAATTTAATTGAAAATATTTTACCAAATACATTCTCAATTACTATTTTTTTTACCGCTCAAAAGGCATAAATTTGATTATTTCTTTCAATAAAAATTTAAATCTTAATTCATAATATTGTGAAGAACTAACACACTTTATCAAAGTTTTAAAAACCGGACCGAATCGGCCGGTTCAACCGGTTGAACTGGGAACCGGCTCCTAGTCCGGTTCGGTTGATCCCTAAAAACCGATCAGCAAAGAACCGATCAACAACCGGTTAAACCGGTCAAAAACTGGTAAAACAGGACAAAAACCGAACCGGTTCTCATGAAAAAACTGAGAAAAATTTAAAAAAATAAAAAAATAAATTAAAATTAAAATTAGATTATATCTTTCTTGATATTTAAATGAAAAGCTTCAATTATAATTAATATTAATTATGTATTTATCAATAAAAAATTATATTATCAAGCATCTATAAATATCTTTGAAAATAATGCAAATTTAAATGTATTTTTTATTTAATTATGATACATACATTAAAAATATATTAATTTAATATCAACCGGTTCGACCCGATTCGACCACGATTCGATCAATGAATTATGAATCAGTGCCTCATTCGATTCAATGATCGGTCTGATTTTTAAAACCTTGCATTTTATTAGATCCAATTTTTATGTATTTTACTACTACTTTTAGATAGCTATGTATATCTCCTATTGCAGTGGGCCAGCTAATGAGCTGCCAACAATAGACATTAATATTATATTTAATGTAAGATCACAATCATAGGAATATTTAAGAACATCAATGAAAGTAAATTTGTTTGTACTTGACTCAGGAGTAGTTTATGTTTATTGAAATTTAATAAATTAGCCAATATTATTGTACCATCTTTCTTAAATTAATAAAAAGTTTGCCAGAATATATGGGGAAACGAACCAGCACCATTTTAGGGTCAGACTTCCATGTGAAACCATGGACTGCAACGCCACATCTTATCTCCTTTCAAATTATTTATGTCAAATTATTGAAATGCATATATGCATGCGATGTCCCCGGGTACTTTTTTAATTATTGTTAAGACCCTCTAATGTGGGTATTTTATTATTATTATTAAGTCCCTCTAATGTTTAAATATAAGTCAAACTAAACTCTGAAAATATTTTTTATCTTTAAAATAAGACAAAGTTAAGTCTTAATTCATAATATTGTGAAGTACTAACACATTTTATTAGATCTAATTTTTATAAATTTTACTACTATTTTTAGATAGCTATGTATATCTCCGATTGCTGTGGGCCAGCTAATGAGCTGCCAACAATAGACATTAATATTATATTTAATGTAAGATCACAATCATAGGAATATTTAAGAAATTATTGAAATGCATATATGCATGAGATGTCCCTGGGTACTTTTTTAATTATTGTTAAGTCCCTCTAATGTG